AGAGGATCGTCGAGCAGTGTCATTTCTGAAATCTCTTCTTGGTTCCCAATAAGTTAATGTAAATCTTGATTCCAATCACAGCCCTAAATCATCACCTTTTCCACCTTGCTGGTAATATCCAAGTATGTTTCCTTGATACTTGCTTTCTCGCACAAGTCAAAAAACCGTCAAAATATCTTGAACACAAAAGATGAGGCCTGCATATATCTTTTCAGTGACACTTTTGTGTGACCTCTACTCCTACCACCCACATTGCCACTTTCATCACCAATGGTTTCAACATCCATGCATATAAGGTGTGGGTACTTTCTAATAGTATGATGTACTCACTCATGGCAATTAATTCCAGCATTACATGCTACATAGTTGATGGCCATCAGACCTTCCCACTATTGTACAGCCAAAAGAACCTGCCTTGGAAAACCCAACCTTACATGCTCCACAGCTATGTCAGCAGCACAAATTGTATTCAGGTTGCCATTGTTGATCTTGTTCCAAAGGATCATGCGTACTAGTGCACCTCATAAACTAGCTTGATGTGCAGAAATTGAATCTTGAATGTCACTGTCTTCCAGTAGAGGAAAGTGAGATCAGAAGCATAGCTCCGTTCGGACATGAAGAGAAGCACGTTTGAATTCAGCCCATGAACAATCTCAGCAAATTAAGAATTTGCCAAGTCCCAGATTGAAACTTCAACGAATCAAACCTCCTCTCGCTTTAAGCCGCAGCTCTCCGAATCTCACACCTCCCTCCACGCTGATCAAAGCTTCTTCAAAACAATTGTTGTAATCTTCATCGATAGTATCTGTGTAAACTTTGACCTATGAGGATCTGAAGTGCCTAGGAGTACAAGGGACGTACGGGCTATTGTTCAAAGACTATTCGTGAATGATATTGTTATCAAAAACGGATCATGTGTATTCTTTGACATCCACAGTCATAGATTGACTATTCGGCAGCGAAGAAGTAAACTTGCTCGTCCCTTTCAACCAGCCAAGGCTGTTTTATTTGACTGCTCCAATCTTCTCTTCCAACTGCCATGTCTCATACACATAACAACTTCCATTCTTCTTCAAAGACTGATCAAATGAGTGTAATCAAATCTATTCTACCTCCGAGATCTTATCGACAATTGCGTGTTGTTAAACTCGACCAGAGTATCAAGAGTTTCTTGTTTTCCCTGAACAAAGCCAACAGTCGTAACTCGCTACTATTTTTAAACGTAAAGTCACGACAATCGTCTTGATGAAACACGAGAGATCATCAGCCAACCCAAGACGGTAAATCCCATGAGTCAAACAACCAACATCTGAGACAAAAATAACATGGTGTATCCTTGGGACCAAGGCTACGTCCACCAATAACATGAGCACATTTACTTCAAGTCTTTCACTTTAAAAAGAGTCACTTTGTATATGTGAAGCCAAGATATTTACCCCTAGTCTAAACGACTGTCTTAGCTATATTTAGCTAAGATCCGAGGTTACTCCTAACTGAAATTAACCTCAACAGTATGACCATGCAAAGTATAACATAAACAACGCATTTTATGAACTAGCATACATGTATACAATTGTACTACATACATACATTAGATGATTTGAAATTAATATTAAATTGGGATGCAAGATGATCATATAATAATCAACCTAACTATACAATGTACTTTAGCGCAGACTAACATATGCATAAATACTATATAAAAATTAGAACGCGGCTAGTTATCATTCTGATAATAGTTTAGGCTAATTATTCATCATTATACTCTACAGAAGAGAGTTTTGTGATTGTATGGCTGGATGCTACTTCTAAAATAGGTACTTCTTCGTGAGTTGGCGGAGTTTTTTTTATCCCCTCTGCCATCAAACAACGTTCACCGTTTGTGCTGAATTAAGAATCACAAATGAAGTTGTAATTGGAGTTTTTTTTTCATAATTTTAGCTCTTTTTAAAAGCACTTGAGTTTCTATAGTTATTTAATTTCTTCAGTTAGAATTCATAGAGTGTTCACTATGACAATTTGTTTTGAAGTTTTCTACACTTATTCCATTTTAATTCCATTGTCAGCCTTCTTCCACTAGTTTAGTTATCACATTCTAGTCTTTATCTTCCGCGTTAATTTCACTATTATCAACTTTGTGCTTACTAGAAACTTGGACTCTTGTTTGCAAACGAGCATATCATTCATAGACATTGTTTGCTTATTAAGATGAGCTGTTGTTTTATTAACTCAGTGCGTAGTTTGTTCCATTGTGAAACAATTTCTAGTATTTCCGATTCTCCTCTTTTCCCCTGTCCACGAAAAAATTGTATTCGTTGTCCAATCTCGCTGCCATATGCTCCCATTTTGTGCTTCTGATTCTACCCCCATGAATACTATATTCCCCGTCCCGATCCTATCCTTGCATTTGACTTGTGATTAATCACAGAACTACCTTATGTAAAGTACAATAGGATGAGGGATAATTAGACTAAACTGAAGGACAACTAATCGCTCCCATAAATTATGATAGACAATGAAAATATTGAAATATCTACAGTGTAGGATCTTGATATGAGTTTCCATGAGATATATTGGTTGTGACATAGTTGTGTGATATTGATATTAAATATGAATTAATATAGATTCTTGAAAAAATAAAATTTTATGCACAAAAACAAAAATCCAAATACTTGGTTGTACGTTGTGATGAACATATACTTCCAAACCTGATATTTTCACCACCTTATCTCACAATTTTAGAAGATTTTTATATCTAATCATAAGGAGAGTTTATTATTATTATGATGAAATTATATTCTTATATTATATTGATGCCAACAAGTAATTGCAATGATTAAAAATCAATACTAGACATGCACAAAAGACAAGTATGCTTTCTACTAACTCAACTACAAACAAAAGTTAAAATCTATGAAGTTAGATTCAAATAAATTGTATGATAAACTTGCTGATAATATATTTTTACAACTGTTTTCACAATTTTCAATTCAATTTTCAAACTTGAATCTTGAGGATTTATTGAAGTATGTTTTATATACAGTATCACTTGATAACAAGATTTTATGACGTTTTAACTTCATAAAATGTATCATAATATTACAATGATGATGTTAAAAGTCAGATTTTACTTGTCTATTTGATAGCAGCTCTGAAGTATTTCTAAATTTTGACATTATATTTTCATATATATAATACTCACATCTTTCTCATGCATAGAGCTTAGAGATTTAGTTTCTCTTCATTTGATAAGATAGGTTGTACTTAGAATAAATATTTATTACCTCTATAAGTGGGACAAAATGATCTATAAATTCTATACTTTGCTTCTCATAGGAGCTTAAGACCAAACCGACATCAGAAGTGTGTTTTTCATACACTTTAGGGTAAAAAGCTATACTCAGTTTACAACTACTACAAAATTTTACACAATCTTCGAAAATATTCGGTTGGTATTGGAGATAAATTTTGCCCAAGTCAACTGATAGCTCATTGAAAGGTGCTTCGGCATTAGAGCACGTCAATTGATCAACTTTGCATTGTTTATGTCTCCTTGATGCTTGAGATTCGCCGAGTCTCGGTTGGCACTGGATAACGGAGATCTTCTAACTGCATAAGTGACAGAGGTTAAATTAGGTGGAATACTATGTTATACAATGTTGTGCAGAATCTGATTAGGTATTGCATGAAGCACTACTTTGGATTTATAATTATTAAACATAATAAAATATGACATCCATAATTTTCTCTATAATTGCATTTAGATAAGTACTTCATTTGATATCCAAATCCTACTGCTTGTTGGTGTTTTTCATGTTTTAAAGTTCTGTGATTCCAAAGGCATGCGATTTGGTTTGAGATTTGTGTAAAAGGTTTCGCACGGACGTGTCAATGAAGCTGAATACATCACACTGCATTTGATAGTATATTGCACTGTAATGTACTCTAAGATGTTCAATGTTGCGCTTAATGGTAGATTAAGTTTGATATTGTGTCGCGACTCCATAGGCTCCCAAGAGTATGCCACCACCACGATCATGAGTTGTGGTTGGGTCAGTATTCCATCGCTCTCATACGTGGATCGGCTAGGCTTCGTCTCCTGTCCGCGTGCCGCAAGACTGGTGGACACATTTTACCATCGGGCAGGCAGGAGCATATTGGAAAATCAATCCCTTTTATTCAACATAATGATGAGGTGAAGAACAACATTTTTATATGACAGTTGAAATGGGGGTGCCTAAACGGTTGAGAAAAGTGCTTTACCAACTCATGCAGCGTGATTTCCACTTCGGTGAAATAATTGGGGCTAGCCGCTGGTTTCCGATTTGTTTCTTCATTAAGGTGCTCTTCCCAACCTTTCTACTTATCTACTTGGCCCCCGATATTCACGTACGCAGCGTTACCATCACTCTCCTTTCTTTTATATTCTAATAATATTTTTCATCACGCTCCACTCTTCCGGGTTGCAGTTGAAGATGATATACTGCACAAGGAAATACCAATGTCCACTGTAGGGCGTGAGGAAGCCAAATCGTGGTAAGATAGCTTCAATTAAAGTCTGAACTCCTTGTCGAGTAGTATCCAGCGTGTGATACGATACTAATGATGGTATAGTATGCAACCTCTGAGCTCCGGAGAAGCTGGGATCGAATCCAAACGTATCGAAAAGGTACACGAGGGTATTATTATGTGCGCTCGAGAAGGACAAGAAGCTGCAGCTCTAAGCGTTCAGTGACATAGGATAGGATAGGATAGGATAGGACGATTGACAGGAGGATTGCGGAAACGTATTACTTCGCTCTACGAGTTTACGCTTACGATTACGGCATAAGAAGATCCGAAACCCTTGCATTGTCATTTGTACACTAATGGTTTTTGCATTTGCCGGACGTTCTATAGTGGATTTGATTGATTAGCCGCGTCCTCCATCATGATTGTCTCAGAAGTTGCAACAGGCTCCAGATCTGTTAGTTTTCTCTTTGCCTTTGTTGTCCTGAAGCAGATGGTCATCGGCCTGGAGCCTTGTGCTCATATGACCGCTCAACGCCAGCGGTGGAGGCAACCGATGGTCGACGAGGGTCCTCCCTCCCCTACATGTTACCCACCCTGGACTGGACTCGAGCACGGAGTCTGGCTTTTGGCCGCCAACCGTGTCCCAGTTGTGTTCGTTAAGAAAATGAAGGGAGAGAGGTTCCAGACTGCAGCAATTTTCGAGAAGTCAGAGAGTAAGTAGGAGGGACGGAGGGTAGAGTGATCAGCTCAGCCGTGCCTACGTTCTAACTACATGAGAGTCGGGTGTCATGCAATACTGTTTCAGGGGATTAATAAACATGCCAACCCAGGCACGAACTGAGCTGGATCGATCGATGGACAAGGTCTGTAAGCCGTACTGCAGCAGTACCAGCTCGCCCATCTCAGAGTTACTCGAGACGTAGAAAAGTATCAGAATATGGACTCTGCTGGAGGCCAAGGCTCTCGCTTGCATTATTATGTTAAGTTTGTCGTCCTCGAGATCTCAAGATCAGAACGGATTTTAGTAGCCTGGCGCTAGCTGCTATCGTTCTCGTTGTACTACGACTACAAGTACGCCACCTGAATCCTGATCCACTCGCTCCGCTTCGCTTGCATGCATGTATGTGAAGAGACAAGCACAGCTCCTTCAGTGGCCTCACTAACCCGTTCGGCATAATTGTGTCATAATGGCGTGCGAGGTGATCGAGACAACTCGCAACAAAAAAATATTTATTTTTCACTTTTCAGTCACGTACCAGTCGGTGGTTCAAACCTTGCTAAGTGCAATTATTTGTTTATGCTCGGAAATGTTTACAGTACACGGGCCTGGCGTACACTGGCGTCCACACCATAGCAGTACAGTACAGAACAAGGTCGCTCGCCTCTGCCCAGCCCGAGACCAACCTGTGCATAAGAAAGCTAACAACCAACCTGCTCGACTGAAGCATCCTGCGTTCAGTACGAACGTAGATGGTGGATGGGACAGACAGGCACGCAGGCACGGGAATAAATTTTCTTCTAATGTTCTTTTGCACAATGCAAGAACCGTCACCAGCCGAGTGGGTCGGAGAAGATTCCAATTACTGAGTGTGACTTGAAACAGACGCTGGCCAAAGTGCTGACCTCACTCTCTTTCAGAGCTGACCCATGTAGAGAGGCAGAGGGAGGACTTGCAGCCCAGTTAGACTTTTGGCCACATCGGGGTCGGGCTGAGCTGAGGTTAGCTGAGCAAGATCTGGACAGGAGAGAGCGTTCCATGATGAGCGTTCCATATGGCTTCTAGGCGTGGATGAGTCGTAGTGGTTCACTCTGCAAACTCACTCTTACGCAAAGCTGAAATGCCACAGATCTCTTCTACGCAGGTGAGTCCTGAGGATGATGCAAAAGTATGTCACGAGTTCGCCACCGGCGACGATGGCGCTGCCCATCGCTCGGCTGATTACCCGGGACCTCACTTTAGCAACTTTCAGCCGGCGCGTTGACCAAGAGGTATCGAGGAGTAGTTTCTGCGGTAACGTTGCGAGTCGAGCCGAATCGAAGCTTGGGATGGGGGCTGGGGCGGGACTCTGGCCTTTGGACCTTGGTCGGATGACGATGACGATGGGTTGAGGTAAGAACAAAGGTATGAGTCACCGAGTCCCCAGATTCTCCTCCTGTGGAACTTCGGGTGGCATCTGTGTGCCTGCTGTTGTGGACTATGACAGTGTCGATTTTGATTTGTATGGGCACAGTGCAGAAAGGATGGAACACAAGTCGGTTTATCTGTGGCAGTGTAAGTTTTGCAGATTAGACAGAAGAAGGAATTATATCTCAGTTGGTCTGTGTGGCTTGGGTTTAGAACTGGTTTTCAAAAGGCAGAGCTTACAGCAGTCAGTACAATTTGACATCAAAGTCCAAGCTCAAGCTACCGTACCGGGAATTCTTCATGTCTAAGCTTCCTCTTTCGGCCATAACTCAATGCCGCAACCCATGTTGTAGTGCTTTACCACATCGAGGCAGACCTGCAGGTTCAGGATGTTGCTGACCGTGATGGCTCGAGCAAAAGAGAAAGACCTGTAGCTCAGAGACGAGGATATTCCGAGAAGAGAGGAACTTCTGTTGTAGTGTGTTCCTGCGCCAATCCTCTTTCTGCTTTCCGTAATACGGTTGACTCGCCTCACCACTGGAGCGACGAAGAGATTGAACATAGAAATCGTAGCCACTTGGGCTGCTAGTGGACGATCGTGGTCGTACAACTTGGTGATGGGCAGCTTCAGGTTGACTTTGAAAAATGAAAATCGGTAGATAGGATTGCCAACAAAAGATATTTTTTTTAATGCAGTGCTGTAATCTTCACTTTAAACACGTGTTCACGGGGTTGGATGTGCATTCGTTCTAACATCCAAGTACAAAATAAACACTATTCGCGATGAATTATGGGTCCCTGAATTATTGGTAGTGGTGTACTATATATCGTATATGGTGAACGGTCTACTACTGTACTATATGGGGTAAAGAAATATACCATACTGTGATATAATATCACAGTATGTTATATCACTGATATATGTTATAAAATATATCACTGATATATGTTTCCATGTGAATCCAGGTCAAACTGTGTATGGAACATATTGGCATCATAATTGTGTATCTTGAATGTCTATGGTTCACATCCACTGTGGTTGTCCTGAGTATGCTCTTGCTTATGCTTAACCATTAGGGGCACCCATATGTCATGGGGTCCTTTTGCACTAAACACTCTCCACATCTCAAGTTTTACAGTCGTTTTATACTTGGGTGGAGCATCCTTACTCGTGAATGTGGTGAACACTTTTAAAACTGGTACGCATTAGACTCATTGCTCCGAAAGTCTAGTAGATCATTTTCACAATTCCTTCGTTTCTCTTGTTGCTGTCCTATAGCTATAATTTAAGGCAGCAATCAAAATCTGATCGGAAGTATTTGCACTTTTGGTCGGGAGAGAGCAATGTTGAGCCTTTCTATATCATACGATAGTTATAGCCAAGGCATGGGTATCTTAGGCGATCCTATACCTAGCCGCGTTAAATGATGCTCCTTGTAGCGCCTAAATTAATGAGCGCATCTAGACTCTACTTGGCTCAGAATTGGCTAATCAATTCTGAGCATGGGAGATTAGCCAATTTGTTAACTTGCTAATTGCTCATAATTTACCTAGTTTATAATCTGAAGTTTGTAAATTAATTTTTGTCTCGCCCACGAGCCTCATAGACCCACTGCAAGGCCCGCATGATGATCACTTTTTCACCATCTACCTCCAAACCCTTCACTCGCTCTCAAGGCACTTTTAGAATAGAATCTCCTAAATGAGCCTAAAATAACTTTCTTGATAAGAATAATTAAGCTAATTTAGGTTATTCAGGCGACCGGCTATTATAACCATGGCTAGTTATAGCCATTCTTTACATGTCTTCTAGTGATGATTTTGCTAAGATATATCCAATTAAGCAAGAGATATGAGTGAATGAATCAAAAGCTGGAGGTGCTGTAGAGCTTAGTGCCGTTGTTTATATTTACAATTGTAAAGAATTTCTTGAAGTCCACATCTTCAACTCGTTACAGTAATATTCATTGAGAATTTAAGAAATATTTTCACTCTGCATTATCTATTTTTTGACAATACATTTGCATATTAGTAAAAAGACTATCATTTGGAGGTCTCATATTATGGTCATACTTATGAGTTGCATGCAAGCAAATATATAGCGTGAATCAAAGAAAAAACAAAGTCGCCAATAAACTTCAAATCATATTCAGTCTTTGAGTTGATGAAAAAATTCAAATCTAATGGTATTTTTAGGATAGGTTGTAGATTGTAGATATCGTGAATATTGTAATTACAAGATAAATAAGAGATATATTTTAATGAGTTTTTTAGAAGTTTTCTTTTTTTACACACTTATGAACTTGAACTTTTTCCAACTTTCCAACTTTAATTTATACATTACATGAGAAGAATGTTCAAATCACTCAATTTTGATTAAAAGAAATAACAAAATGATTCATTAAGAAAGATATAAAATCTTTTTAAAGTATATAAGACTCTATTATATCCTTCAAAAAAATTAATAAACTTGTAAGTATTATATAAATGTATATTTTAATAAAAATCTCCTACATAATCAATATGAATATATAAATTAAACTTTTGAAATTTTTATAATTCAGATTATGAATTATTTTTATATCTTTAATCAATCATGTTTTCATTTTTTTAATTTTCTGATCATTATTTTATGATACTGTTATTTTTGTAGATCTGACATACATAATACTTTCTTGGCATCCAATACAAATTTCCTTGTTTTAGGCTATATATGTTGGATTTAAAAATCTTGGATGAAGAATACATGTGATTAAAAAAATCGAAAATAGTAAAAATCTGGCCAAAAAAATAAATTTGATTTCAAATTAAAAAAATTATCTGTCAATTTTTTTGTATATAAAATTTGGACGAAGATCTATTTATAATATAAGATTCAATGAAAATGTGATATTTATTTTTTCTTATTTAAAAAATAAAATATTTTATATGTATTCAATATGTTTATGTCTTCTAAAAAAAATTTTAATGCTACAGAAATTTACAATTATAACAGTTTTATTTCAGACATAATTTTTTGCTTAAAATTAAAAATTGGAAATAAGTGACTTCATGTTAAATTATAATTTCCAATAATTTTTTTAGTCATCATCATCCAAATGATTATTTTTATTATTGATTTATGAATTGATGTACAACTATAAATGTATTTTTGTAGCAATATACGTTGAATTTAAGTGTAATTTTTTTCCAAATATTCATGCATAAAAAATCATCTTTATCTTATCACAATTGATTCACTTCATAATAATGTTGAAATGAGTTTATTGTCTTAACGAAAAACGAGGAATCATTCAAGAAACATAAGACACAATCATATAACGTGATTCACCCTCAAGGGCTACGTCCACGGCTAAAATGCACGAGAAGCTTTACTTAAACTAAATACACGATACTGCTTCAAAGAAGACTTGGCCTTGGGGGTATATTTATACCCAAAGCGAGCGACACCCTAGCTATAAATAGCTATAACCTGAGGTTACTCCTTAACCGGAGCTAACCTCAACGATCTCCCCCTTAACTCGTGTTAAGGAAACAGTAACCTCTGTAACCTATATTATTACTCAGCGGGAAGTTCTAAACAGAAACCTAACACAAGGCCCCTCTTTACACGAGAGTTAACAAGAACTAGACCGTAGCCATAACAGGATAGAGTGATAACATAAAGAGGTAACTCAAGCTACTATGCTAGCAAATTCTACATGTGCTCCCCATGCACAACTTGCATGATAGCACAGTGTCGCCTGAAACTCTCCAATGGAATAACTTTGGTCAAAGCATCAGCTGTATTGAGTTTACCGTCAATCTTGACTAGCTCAATAGTTTTATCAGACACTGCTTGTCTGATAAAATGATACCTGATGTCGATGTGCTTCACTCTGCTATTCATGAGCTGGTTTGCAGCCAAATGTAAAGCGCTCTAGCTATCACAATGAAGATTAACAACGCACTGCTTCAATCTCATTTCCATGATAAGTCTATCTAACCAAATAGCTTCCTTTGCTGCTTCTGCTACTGCCACATATTCAGCTTCCGTTGTTGATTGAGCTACGCATTTCTGCAAGGTAGATCTCAAACTAATGCTTCCACCGTCAAGTGTAACACGACCCAGTTGTAGATCTCCTTTTATCTGGATCCTGTCCGTAGTCAACATCAACGTAACCAAACAAAGATTTGGCATTGTATAATAGACCATCAAACAATAAACCATAATCCAAGGTACTCTTCAAATATCTCATAATCCATTTCACTGCTTCCCAGTGAACTTTCTCTGGATTTGACATATATCTGCTTATCTTACCCATCGCAAAAGCAATGTCCGGCCTAATGCACACCATCAAATACATGAGGCTGCCTACGGCTTGTTCATAGGGAACACATGGCATATTTCCTTTTTTCACAGCATCAGTAGGATATTGAGGTGCAGAGAGTTTGAAATGTGCCGCCAAAGGAGTCCAAACTCCTTTGGAATCAATCATGTTCAACTTGTCAAGTATACGACGGACATACTTGCCTTGACTCAACCATAATCTCTTCTGTTCATGATCTCTATGGATCTCCATGCCTAATATTCTCTTCGACTCCGCCATATCCTTTATCTTAAATGCAGACTTCAACTTACTCTTGCATTCATCAACATCGGATTGATTTTTTGCCAGTATGAGCATGTCGTCAACGTAGAGCACTAAAATGATGAGATTGAACGTCTCATCATTTACCTTCTCCATGTAGACACAAGGATCATACACGCTCCGTAAAAAACCTTGTGCCTTCATGAACTCATCAAAACGCGTGTTCCATTGCCTAAGAGATTGCTTCAGTCCATACAATGATTTTAGCAATCTACAAACCAACCTCTCTTTGCGTTTTACCTCAAAACCAACAGGTTGTTTTATGTAGATCTCCTATTTTAAATATCCATAAAGAAAGGCTGTAACCACATCCATCTCATCCATAACAAGATCAAATATCGCAACCAATGCACATACCAGACGAATTGTAGCATATTTAGCTACAAGTGAAAAAACTTTGTTGTAGTCCACGCACTTCTCTTGTGTGAAACCTCTAGCCACCAGCCTAACTTTGATGATTCTTGCCTCGTTTCTTGATGGATTGTCCTTTAGCTTGTACACCCACTTGGTATCAATCAGCGCTTTATCCGAAGGAGGTTCAACCAGCTTCCAAGTCTTATAGTCAATCAAGGATTCCATCTCCCGCTCCATAGCAGCATTCCATTCAAGCTTCTTGATCATAGCTTGAGCTTCCTTGTATGAAGAAGGTTCACCTTCTTCCAAAATCAACGCCATACCATCCTCATCTTCAACATCAAAGTCATTATATTCGAGAATGGAAGAATTTGCCCATACACCAAACCTTGCAGTAGCCCTACTAGCACGATGCGATCTTCTAGTAGATGTGTCCGGTTGATCTCTATCGTCTGAAACTATTGCAATAGGCTAATCAATGCTAACCCGCTCATGTTTCTCTTGTTCTTGATGCACTGATGCTACTTCTTGTGACAGATCATTAGTGATACAATAATCAAACTCCCCCACAATAGATATTCCCTTGTAAGTACGAGGAGTTTTAGAATTCTCCCCCTCTTTCAATAAGCCAAGCTCATTGAAAGAAACATCTCTACTGACAATCATCTTCCGAGCTAGTGGATCCCATAGCCTATAACCTTTCACTCCACTAGCATATCCAAGAAAACGACATTTCTTGGACGTAGTGTCTAACTTAGTCCTGTGCTCCTTTGGTGTAAGAGGATAAGCAGTACAACCAAAAACCTTG